ATGCATATATACACACACACACATATATATATATACATATATATATATTACTATATATATATATTACTGCATTTTTAAAAAATTAGATTTCCTTTTTCGGGTCTACTTTGTAAAATGAAGATGACAAGATTAAGGAAAAGCAAAGTTTTTTTTCTTTGGATGATGCTTTAAAAATATATGGGGATTTTATTTTGCTTTGGAATGCTGTATGCTTTATGTTTCATTTCTTTAGTCATTGCAGTCTAATGCTAAAGATTACCAATTCATGTTCTAGCCATTATGTTTCAGATTACTCATAGGTCTTTGAGAACTTTGGAAGCTGTATGATTTCCTCCTGGGTACGCCCCAGAATTACTGAGGTAGAGCTAAGAATCAGAGTCCTTTCTATCCAGTGCTACTTTCACTACAGAGTCAAGTTTCAGGAAAAGTGGGGCACATTGAGAAGAGTCCCTTGTGATGTGAAACTGGGGTACAGATGCACCCTGATTCCAGCAGGTTACATACTGAATCCCCACACCAGTGAGGACAGCTTTGCCACCTGTGAGTGTCTAGATCTGCACAGGCCACCTTTTCCTCCTTACTACTTCTTTCATGATAGTAACAAAGCCCCTCCAAGAAAATTCCATTCACAGTCATATACTTACTTAGGGGACATAATTACTCCTGTAAGTTCTTCAGCATTGTGTTCCATAGTAAGTTCCTACAGATGGTTTCTGTATTCATACTTGAGGGAACTTGAGTCAGAACATTTCCCTGTCACTACTAATCTGGAAAACACCAACTATCTTTAAGGAAAGATTCAAAATTTAACAACCTAGGGAATGTGGTTTTTTTTTTTGGCTTTGGGGAGTTATTTGACTTTCTTATGATTTAAAAAATAATTGCATTTTTAAAAAGAAAAATGATAATTTTATTATTTAAAGAAAATGAACAACCACTACTTTCTTTGGCCAAATGCCTGGAGATTCTACAACTATAGATTTAATAATTTAAGTGCTCACTGAAACACTAGTAGCCAGACATGATCAAGATGAAAGACTTGAGATTTGTCTTCTTAGATTTATGACTTGGGCACTGATTCAGAAAGAGAGTTCTAAAACTTATCCCTAATTTAAAAACTACTTTAAATTGGCTCTTAGCAGGGCATACATAGATGATGTTACGGACTGAGGGTGTAGTTAAGTGGCGAGTACGTGGTTAGCATGTGTAAGGACCTGGCTTTGATCCCCAGCACAAGAGAGATATATTGTGAGAAATCAGCTAGATAATACATATACCAAATAATACAGGGATGATATAGGACTTCCAAATGATATAAGAGAAATATAATTCCCAACCTGTTACATGTCTGATACACTGAATTTGTGTTCTCTAAAACTAAAGAATGAATTCTAGGAACAATGGGGGTTAACAATAGGAAATATTTATTAAGAGGAAAGCTCCTGAGAGGCAGGAGGGGTCTCAAATGGGTAGCCGAGGACCCCACTTTACAGATAAGTTGTGTAGGCAAAACCACACGGGTACACTGTGAGCTAAAGCTGTGATCAAACAATAAAGTTACAAGTACAGTCACCTAGGTAATAATGATTCAGCCAGGAAACAATCACTTAACAAATGTGCACAGAAAGAACAAAGACTTTTTCTAGGAAATGATGGGTCCGGAAGTCTTGGTCACTGGAGTGACTGATGTCTATCTAGATTTCATTAGGCCAGGTGTTACCCCTTATCTTGTCCGTTGGGGAAGTATGCAGGCCTGGTCATTTCTTTTTTATCTTGAGGCCTCATCTCCAACGGATGCATCTCCGGCCACCGGCCACCATTGTAATATGTTTTACCTTTGTCCTGACTTTCTGGAGGGCCTTGCCCCATATGACTACCTATGATACTTCTACATAACTATCTAGAATACTGTCTCTTAGAGGTTATTGTATGTGTGAATGATATTATATTGGTTTATATAATCAAGCTCTCAACAGTTTCTATCTTTCTTTAGAAAATATAATGGACCAATACTTCTTAGCTATATAAAGCAAATAATAATAAAGTATTAATTGATAAAAATGGATTCCAGAATAAATTCAAATATAATAACATATATAATTCTGTGATATTTCAAATCATGCTCCCTGGAGTTCACATCAATTAATAAGTTGATGAGGTCAAAATATAATTTAGGGCAGATAAATATTGGGAGTTTTTCAACCAAATGTTCTCAGAGATGTTATTTTCATTTGTTTACTTTTTTGTAGTACTGTTTACTTTTATTTACATTTAAAGTTTATGTTAACAGAAGGTCACTTAGGGAAACAAAAGTTTGAAGCCACTGATATTTGTATGTATCAGGATAGCATATTGGGGTAGTGGATATGGATTTACAAAATTGAGTGCTATGCATTGTTGACCTATAGATTTCAGTGTTAAAACTACTTCTTTGCGTGATTGTTGGCTTCTAGAGAGAACAAGTACAACACTATAGAATGATGTGAAAGTATTAAAAAGAAAATCAATTTACAGCATCCAGTGAGAAATTTAAAATATTTTAAAAAATCAATAATTTTACTAGAATGTCCAAAATATAATTATCTTAGAAACGCTCCATCCTCCACACTCCCACTCCATTTAGAAACTCTCTACCAGGAAATCAGATGAATTGCAGTGGAGCTCCCATTTTAACTATGCTGGTATGTGTGGATTAGCTAGTGGGTTAGGGAACATAATCCATTTTCTATATTATTCTCTTTCTGCACACTAGAGGGCAGCAGTAATGCACAGGGAACAGGAAATTGTTCAAGCTCTCCCAAGTTTCTCAGCAAGACAAAGAACAAAACGCCTAAAAGTACTTCAGACTTCAGTTGTTAGAGGGTCACCTTCCTTTTCTCCATTCTTAAATATGCATAGAATTTTGACTAACTCCTTTGAATTTGTAAAATATACCTGTTGGTTTGGCCACATATACTAATTTAAAATATGGTCATGAAGATATCTCTAAAAAGGAATGTATGGACCAGAAAGTCCAAAATGGCCTAGTCCGGTGGCTGGCATGTAGTGCTGACTGTCACCTGGGTGCTCAGCAAGGACTGGTAACCACATTACCCAGTTCTCTTTCACTGTGGTTTCTCTTTGTGGGTTGAATATCTCACAACATGGTGGTTGGGTAACAAATGGAATATCCCCAAAATAAGCATTCTGAAAGGAAGGAAGCAGAAATTTCCAGTTGTAGGTATCATTTCCAGCACCTTTAATGGTTGAAGCAATCATAAAATCATCCCAGATTCAAGGATCGGGAAATAAACTCTACCTCTTGATGTGAGGAGCAGTCTGTGTTTATGGCAGGGGAGAAATGGTTGAGCATTGTTCTTTGGAGATCACTACATCAGGAGCTGAGAAAGCCTAGTTCTGCCTTATATTAGTGGTAAATCATTCAGGATGCAGAGGAACGTTTCTTCATTTAATAAATGGCATTGCTTGTAAACATGGTACTTTAAGAATTAAGATGCACAAAAGTCATCCCTATGTTCTTCTTCCAAGATCTGCTACTTAAAGCAGTAAAAATGGCCAGAGCATCAGTGTCCGATGAGGAAATGATGGAGCTCAGAGAGGCTTTTGCCAAAATTGGTAAGTAGAGCTGGTGCTCAGCTATACAGTTCTCTCCCTAGTGACAGATTCAATGAAATGTAACACAAGCAAGATAGCAACTGTGACGAGAGACCACAGTGACAGTGACAAGGGAGCTGTTCTGAAAGATATGCTTTGAGAAAATGATTTTATCAAAACAGACTCTGGATCCTGTTCCACCTGTAACTTTTTTCCTGGAGGTCGCCCCTAAGTTTCAACCTTTGTATATTGTCTGCTTCCATTCTTTTCCTTTATTACAATGATACACTTTCTCTTACCTTTTATCACTGAACCTGTGGTTTATTTAAGAGTTTCTATAAGAATTCTCTAAGTTCTATTGCCAGGACCTCTGTTTTTAAATTAATGGCTCTTTTCCTGTAGGCATTGGAAGTGATACTAGGGCCTGTATCTAGTAGCAGCAGGCCTCTTGTGAGATTTTTGACCCTTTCAAAGGTCAGGCCTCAACCCTCGAACAGTCGATCCCCCTATCCTTCCCCTCCTACCCAGCCTTCCCTGATCTCTCTAAATGCTGTCCCTGAATTGCTCTCAAGCCCCACTTTGCTTCTGCATTTCAGACACGGATGGCAATGGCTACATCAGCTGCAATGAGCTGAATGACTTGTTCAAGGCTGCCTGCTTACCTCTGCCTGGTTACAGAGTAAGAGAGATTACAGAAAATCTGATGGCTACAGGTGATCTGGACAAAGATGGGAGGATCAGCTTTGATGAGTTTATCAAGGTGAATGTGATCTGGAATACAAGGAGATGCATTTGAAACTTGTACTTTAATTCCATTTCAAAAATATCCAGGAAACATTACTACCTTTCTTGCCTCATCATTATACACTCTTTCCTTTGTGATTTTCTGGATTGCTGCCTGGTTTCTAAAACTATATTGTATTTTTGTAGGTTTTCCATGGCCTGAAAAGCACAGATGTTGCCAAGACGTTTAGAAAAGCAATCAATAAGAAGGAGGGCATTTGTGCAATTGGTGGTACCTCAGAGCAGTCTAGTGTTGGCACCCAGCATTCCTACTCAGGTAAGCTGTGCTAATGGTTGGGGCCTGTGGAGAAGATGGTGTTGGGGTGTTGAGAGATACGAGGATTGGAGAGAGAAATGTATGAAAAGGGCCATGTCTCCTGGGGTACACATTCTAAACTTGGGACTCAAACCTAACTGGTGAAAACAAATGCAGAAGAGCTTGACTGTAGACCCAGCTATTTCCTGCAAGTGAGCTAGTTCCAGGGCTGTAAGATAGGAGCAGTCTGAGCTCCAGAGGGTGGGCCCAATACTAAATGATATCATCAGCACTTTTAAAAAGTACCTTCAAAGCTGCAATGATCCTTTTGTAAATTGCATGGACAAAATTAGCTACTTCTCATATCTTCAACATAGTGATTATTTTAATGCCTACTGACTAATCAAAAAATTGTGTTTTCATTGATTTGCAAGAAAGTAGTATATTCTGGAGCCTGCCATCCAGCATCCTCAGTGAAGACTTCTAATAGTCCAAACAGTACAGTTATCCAACATTTTCCAAATGGAGTTCTCTAAAATATTAATCAGTTTGTGGTTAAATATTCCCTGTAGTTGCTAGGAAAAAATTTAGTCTTTTGGCTACACAGTGTTTCCAATCATATTTTTTAAATTTATAAATATTTTTATTATTTATTTAAATAGTTCATTTATGGAAAAATGTTTAGGTAGAAGATTATGCATAAACCAAAGTTCTAGGCATGAAAAGGGACCTAATATAAATAAGTTATAGTCATTTTATTTTATTAAAATCTCCCAGTAAGTAAAATTCTCTTATTCTTGGATTTCTCATGATATTTCCCAAATTTTTGTGAGTCAGAAGTCCTCCAAGGCACACTTGTTTTTGTGACACACAATTTGGAAAATGCAGTGCTAGGATATACGGTATAGTTAGAAGTTTTACTAAAACTTTAAACTCATGGCAGCTCTACTGATAGGAAAGAAAAATTATAAAACAAATGATTTCATTTCCCATCAGTTTCATTATAATTGTGTAAAGAAGCACAGAGATATTGTAAGGATTGTCCATGATCATGCAAGATTTAAATCAGCAAGACTACAGGCAGAATGCCAAGTTTTATCCTGTAAGCATTAGGCCACATTTATATTTAAATTATAACTATATAAATATTTTTATTATTTCTAAATATGCAAATGTATAAATGTATATTCGCTTCTAAGTATATATATATGCATTTTTATTATTGTGTTCTAAATCTGCTTGGTATGTTTTATGACTTAGAATGAACATAGGTTTTGAGCCTTTCTCCCAAGTAATCTGACATGTTTAAATGTCAATAAATAATGAGACGGGGAAAAAATGAGAACCAAGACCTGTCGTGTAAAGGTACAAGATCCCAATGATGAATGTAACTGTACTGTATACCTAAAATGTACCAATAAACTCAGTGAGGAAAAAAAAGAAAAATACTTTTAAATAAATAAATAAATGATAAATAATGAGACAGTAAGACAATGGGCTGGGTAACCTTGTAATGTCTCTTCTCAGCTTGAGAACCTGAGGTCCTTGTGGATAATGTTGTCTTTATCACATTTTCACCTTGCAAATAAATCATTTTCATCATTTACTTGCAGAGGAAGAAAAGTATGCCTTTGTCAACTGGATAAACAAAGCCCTGGAGAACGATCCTGATTGTCAGCACGTCATCCCAATGAATCCAAACACCAATGATCTCTTTAATGCTGTTGGGGATGGCATTGTCCTTTGGTAAATAAAACTTCCTTCTTGGTTTCCAAAAATCTGCCCTTTTGTGCAATGTCAACAATTCACTGTATATGTCCTGGGCCTACTTCCTTTGGTGCTTAGCTGTACCAGGAATGCTTTTGTGGACTTTGATTTGGCTAGGTCCAAGAAAGCAAACCAGGCTCAAAAGCAATTTATAATGAAAAATATAAAACTGCTATTTCTTGGATGGAGAAGAGGGGAGCACAGTATAGACATAAGCATACACATAGAGATCCGGTAATAGAAACGATTATTTTTGTGGTTGTTTTGTTCTCGTGGTAGAATCTCCACTACCTTGAGAACAGAATAACCCCCAAAATAATCAACATGAATGAGTGAGGCCACCAGCAAAAACAGTTCTCAGGGCCAGGGATTTAACTCAGGGGTTTGGTGGCCTGCCTTGCAAGTGCAAGGACCCGAGTACCACCCCCCAAAAAAAAAGTTCTCGCCCCCATGTACCTTGCCTAAAGGTGTGGCTTTACCTTCTATTTTCATTTTTAAGAATGGCCTTCTCAGGCCAGGGATTCAGCTCAGTGGCAACATGTCTGCCCCACAAGCACAAGATCATGACTTCAATCCCCAGTAAAAAAGAATGGCCTTCTCCACCTTCTCCTGTGCAGATTCACCGTGACATTGTCTGGCCTTTCCCATCTTCAAGTGATGGGATTCTTAGCAAACATATTATTTGTAATACCAGGAGAGCTATACATCATAGTGCTCTGTTTTGGACTGTTACATAGCTTTTTCTGTAATTGGACTTGAAGCTTTTCAAGGAAAGAGATACAGTATATGCTTTTTGTCTCCCTCTCCCCTTCCACCATCTCCCAGAGCTTCACTAGTTTAGTACTAGTTTCATATTTCTCAAATGATGATTTTAGGAGATTGTCTTCCTTTATTTGTAGGACAGTGTCTTTTACT